TGTGATAGATTTGTTAATTGTCTACTAAACTATATTTATTTGCTAATAAGATGCAAATACGAAATAAAATAATATAATATTAACTGAAAATGATTGATTATTAAAAAAAAAATTAATTGTAAATAGTATTTTTTATAAAATATGTAATATTTTTTTTTGTTTAATTTTGGTTGTGTTAGTGAAACTAGTAAGCATCCCATGCGATGCACGGAGGGTTTATACCTTAAAATCTTTTTTTTTTAAAAAACTTTATTTTAATAATCTATTGGCCCACAAAATCATTTATATTAATATGAATACTATTTTAACACGTTTCTTTATTTTTTAATACATAAAAAAATATCTATTTATTTTTGTTCATCATAATACTTAAATATTATTTTATTTAAAACCTTATGGTCATGTAATGTCATTATTAGTATTTATAACACTCATAAAAGTAGTATAAATTTTTTATATAATAATAATTATTTAATGTACATTAATATTATTTATTGAAGTAATTAATTTACACATATATAAATAAATGTACAATAAATATTATGTCATATATGCACCCTTTTTAATTTTTTTATCCTTCCTCATAATAGTTAAAAACAAAATGATGAATATGTATTTATATATATATATATATATATATATATATATGTGTGATGTTATGAATATATTAAATATATTAAGCATACAAAAATAAATTAGTAATTAAACAGTATTATCAGTGAATTATGATAAAAAATTTAATGTAGTCGGGATTTATTGAAATTCCTTAACTAAATAAATAATTTAATAGTTCTATAAATTTCGACAACCAATTGTCATGTGATTTTTTGGAAAAGTTCACCGATTTTCACACATTTGCGTAGTAAGGATTTTCCAAAAATATTATGTGCTAAGCCATTTTTTTTTTTTCAAAGTAACATGTATAAGATTTCTAATCCAAAACATATTGAGTCATAATTTTAGAAATAATCCAAAGCACATTATAGAGTCATAATTTTGGAAAAAATTAAATACGTTATGGAGTCATAAACAATTAATATGCACATCCCATAAATAAAGGGAACTCATATTGGAACAATCCAAATCCCAAAGGACTTCTCACGTGAATCCAAATTTTCCATCCAATCTGGTCTTGCCACGTCATTAAGAAATAACCACTTGCCTAAAATTGTTCGGTCATTTCCTCGCCCAAAAATAGATTTGCGTCTGCTTCTTGTGAAATATTTTGGGCAGATCACATCGTCTTCCTTGATGCATGTGGAAATTCTGACCACCACCATGCCCTTCCAGGTTGCCTTGCGACCATCCTTTGGAGCAGTTATCGGTCGTCGTGTCTAGTCTGAGTCGGAAAAAAAAAAAAAAAGAAAAAAAAAACATAAATCCACCATTAATTATATCCATAAAATCGACAAATTTTAGTTTTAACATACATTTTCTTATAATATTCCTTGTCACATTTCAAAAGAAGCAGTATCAGAAGCATGATTAGTGTTGGATCTACCCATAATCAAATATATCCCAATTCTATAATATATATGTAGAAACAAATATGTGTCTCTAAATCACGGCTCCGTCTTCACCTCCCACCGACTCTCTGCCGAACTCTCACTGTAAACCCACCTATCATATATGCCGTCAACAGCGGGACAAAACCGGTTTCTCAGTACAAACTGTCTCCAACTTGAATCGCCCGAGAATCGAGGCTACTACATACTTCATCTGGACGAACGCCATCTTCTTGCCGAGGCACACCTTGGGACTCGCCTAAAAAATTGGGTACTCGTAGGTCTCACCGGCCCCTTCGGATCTAGCCACTTGTCCGGCCTGAACTCCAAGCCTGCCATGGTCGGTGGCGAGCTCTGCACGACAGGCTTCAATCCGCGTAGAAGACTGGACTTCTGTGCCGACTTCATGTCTAAAAATTCTTCATTTAACCTCCGTATATGTATATAAGAGAGAGCAAAAGTGTAAAAAAAATTATACAAATAATATTTAAAAGTATCTAAAATATTAGTAATTAGACAAGTGAAATTTAGATTTTAAAAAAATCTAAATATATAATGAATTTATAGTAGTAATTAGACTTTTATTTATTTATCTTTAAAGTTGTTACGATAGATGAGGGATGTAATTTTTTTGACTCGTGGAGATGGAATTTTATAAGCTGGGTTATGAAATTTTCTTAAACTCGTCCATATTTGTGCAATGAGTTTTTATTTAGCTGGGTATATAGATTTAAAATTGTAAAAAAAAAACTTTCATAAATCATTTGATTTGGTATTTTCGAAGAGCTTCATAATTTAAAAGTGTAAAATAAATAAATAAATAAAGTACAACTAAAAAAGTTACAACCAATTATATAAAGAATTAAACTAAATCCAATTTGCAGGATGCATTAAATATTGATTAGATTTTATATGTAAAATAAAATAAAAAATAACTGTAATAGTTTTACGTGTTGCAATATTTTATATTTAAAAAAATTAAAAATCCTTCTTTTACGTGTTGCATACCAACATTTTAGGAACTACATTGATATTCTTAAATTAATATTGCGTACCCAATATTTTAGGAACTAATTAAATGCTAATTTGATTTGCATACCCAAAATATTAGATGCATTAATTAAATACTTGATAAAATTAGAAATTTATTAATTAAGTTTGACTTTTCTAACTACTATATTTAGTAAATAGGATCCCATTTAATATAAGTACTAGTACGTAACCCGTGCGATGCACGGGACAAAGATATTAAATGAGTTATTTTCACAGCCTTGTCCGTTTAAGTCTAAAAAGTAATAATGTTATTATCTATTTTCTATCTCTTTTAATCAACGTTAACTCTAAAAATTTATTAAGCCGCCCTCTGGCAAATATGTATGGAATTATGTGTTCGTGTCTCATAAGTTACAAACATTATGAATAACATTACAAATTATTCATTCAAAATTTTATTCATTGCAAATATATTAAAATAGTTTATATAACAACCATTAAATACTTTATAAATAAAAAGTACATAAAATTTCTGGTGTGTTCAAATTTAAATAATTTTTGTTGGGCTCAATTTTAAATCATCCAGACATTTGATCAAACGCATAGATGTGTTCAATTATAAATCATTGACATTTTGGTCGTTGAAACTTAAATCATCTACCATGGTACTGTGATGTTATTATATCTATACAATTTTTTAACAAATAATATGTGCTTTATAAAAAAATAATAATAATAATTTCACAAGATTTAAATGTAAAATTTGGTTTTTAATCACAATAGAAAAATCATGGTAAGTTGTATTGAAATGGTGTTATGA